GATCGGGACCAGGACCGGAGCCGGTTCCTACCGCTGATGCGCGGGGAAGCAAAGCGGATGGGGGCGGCGGGGGTTGCTAGGCGCAGCCAGAGTCCCGTAACAAACGGCTTTGTTCCTAGAATGAGGCTCCCAAACTGAAACACCCCGAGGGGCTGGAAGAAGAGAAAAGGGGTTTTTTTTTAGCCAAAAAAGCTCGGCTGGAGTGGGAGCTGAAGGTGGAGGAGAAGAAGAAGGTGAGCACACGGTGACAGCTCCCATAACCCTGCTGCGCCTCAGTCCGAGCGCCTGCAGCGAGGCTGAGCCCCCTCTGCGGTGGCTGGACAGTCAGGAGAGCAGACATTGCTCCCCTAAAATTCATCTTCTAATTAGACTTCTGATTATCTCAGTTACTGTCCTGCACTAGAGCATGGCTGGACTGATTTAGGTAGGTACAGCTGAGTTTGATCCTTGGCCCCTTTCTTCTTGTTACAACCGGTTGTTCCTTGTGCTGTGCTAGGAGTGTGCAGCGAGAGGAGAAGACTACGAGCGAGTGAAACTGCTGGAGATCAGTGCTGAGGATGCCGAGAGATGGGAAAGGAAAAAGAAGAGGAAGAATCCAGATCTCGGGTTTTCAGGTAATGGCTTAACTGTGTTAATTGTGTGTGGTCACAACGGACACCTTCGTTAGTATTTCAACTGCAAACTGAGTCACGAAGTTAAAACCTTTAGATTTAAACCCTAACATTAAATCATTTTCCCCAAAAGATTACGCGGCGGCTCAGCTGCGCCAGTACCAGCGGCTAACCCGGCAGATCAAACCCGACCTGGAGCAGTACGAGAAGCTGAAAGAGCAGTAGTGAGTTTGATTTCAGCCTTCTGACATTGTCTGTTGTATTGCTAAATTATTCGCAAACGCTGCAGGCTTAATCTAACCCTTTCACACATTCTCATATACGCTGTAATGCTCATTAGTTTAACACAGTCTTAAAATGCACGGCCTGATCATCTGCTCTGCCACAGTAGGTGCGAGGGGAAGCAGTGTAATTGATAAGGTTCATTTCTTCGAGCTTGCCATTACTGAGTCTGAAGAAGGCAATTAGATCATCCTTCAATGTGTGAGAAGATTACTCATTTGCTGTGCCAAGGGAGGTTCAGGTCAGAGATAAGGAGGAAGTTCTGTACTGAGAGGGTTGTCAGAAGCTGGAACAGGCTGCCCAGGGAGGTGGTGGAGTCACCATCCCTGGATGTGTTTAAGGAGCGGGTAGATGAGGTACTTAAGGATATGGTTTAGGGGGTAGACAGGAGCGGTTGGACGTGATGATCTCAGAGAGCTTTTCCAACCAAGCGATTCTGTGATTTCTCAGAGTGGGTTTTGGCTTTTTCTAAGCAGCCTGGCATGGTTTAAGCACAGACTGAGCGACAAGTGAGAACCTGCCCAGTTTGCATTCAGACTGAGAGTTTCAGTATCTTCCACAGGCACACGTTAGTGTCTCAAAGTAATTAAGAGCTTATTTCTAGTATCAAGGTGCTCTCACTCAAATCTTGGCCTCCCACAGTTTGAGTCCAGTGCCTTGAGAATCCAACAGCAGCAGTGCAGTCTCAAAGCCATCGATAGCTGTATAACCTGCGGCCCATTTGTTTTTCCCACCCAGTGGTGAAGCGCTTTACCCCACGTCTGACAGCCTGCTGCACGGGACTCACGTGCCCTCCAAGGAAGGCGTTGACAGAATGGTTGCCGATCTCGAAAAGCAGTAAGTAAACACCAAGAGAAAACAAGGCAGCGTGTGACAGGTTTGTGTGATTCCCCCACGGGTCTCCTAACAGCACTGTTTGCCTTGCAGAATTGAGAAGCGTGAAAAATACAGCCGCCGCCGTCCTTACAACGACGACGCGGACATCGACTACATTAACGAGCGCAATGCCAAGTTCAATAAGAAGGCAGAGAGGTTCTACGGGAAGTACACGGCCGAGATCAAACAGAACCTGGAGAGAGGGACAGCCGTCTGAACCGTCATCCCTGGCAAAGCACGTACAACAGCCCTGCATCTGTTCGTGTTCGGTAAAGCAGTTTGGCAGCAAATAAATACTTTATACTGATTACTTTGTAAAATCTATAGTATATTTAATGTCATAGAAGTTATTTGCGTAACTTCAGCTGTGTATAGCTTGTAGAAGTAACCAGCCTGTGCGATTTCACATTCTGAATAAACACACACATTTCTCAGTCAGTTTAAAGCTTGCCTTCATTCTTCAGTAGCTGGACTGGCTAAATCCCTGAAAAGAGTTTTGGAAGATAAAAGCAAGCCTGAGGAACACACATGAGCTTTCTGTAAAAAAAATTATCCACCCACAGCTGTCTCAGTGCCAAAGGTTTGGGAGTTGTTCCCTGGGCAGCACCCAGCACTGCTGTGCCACTACCCAGGCACCAAAGCTACCAAGGGGGCCAAGAGCAGGGACTTCAATTTGCCATAAAATCCATAACCCTTAGTACATTTGCCAGCCTTGTCTTGGCAATTCAAGAAGCACAAGACTGTTGACTTACTTGCAGAGCTCCTCTTCATAGAGGTTGTGGTGAGCCAGGGAGGCACATGCCCTGCACCGAGTTCTGGAGCTGTGAGCTCTACTCTCAGCTACCTCACACTTTTACTGCCTTACAGCGAGCCCTGAAAGGCTCTTTTTAAAGCAACCTCAATCAAAACACAACCCAGCACTAAGTTCAGGACTGAAGTCAGCACAAGTGACAGTTGCTCGGGTGCAATGCTTTTGACAGCAAGAATGGCAGTGGTTTCACATACAGCAGTCAGGTTTACATCCACATACATCCAACACCAGCCTGCCACTTGCAGAGGGGCATCTGGGGAAGTCTGGGGGCCCTGAACCAGGCACAGCCTGGGCAGGAATAATTCCAGTGTACAGGGAAAATTACCTTCTGTTGTACTTTGTGTTCACAGTGAGGTAAGGGGAAGCTACACCTGGGAGTAACCACCAAGAGGACACAGCCAAATGACCCAACACAGGTCCACCCACTTGACACATCAAGAAACCAGTGCAAAACAAAACTTTATTTACTTGAAGTAAACAGTTACACAATGTGTATCAAGTGTTCAAAATAACAACTACTAAACTATTGTTTAGAAAAGGTTACCCACCTGTAAGTTCTAGTCCATTAAAACAATACAAAAAGATTTACAAATATATACAAGAATCGCATCTGTGGCTTCTGGATCCCTCTGCTTTCTATCTGAAAGAGAAACCTAAGATGCCAAAATTAAGATATCAAAATAAATACTCAGTATTAACAAGTCTTCAACCTGATCAGAAAACCTCTGATCTCAAAACTGAAGTATGCATACTGCTGCAATCAGAAACAGTGAGAAAAATACGCTAGCGTGCCCGGAACAGCGCATTTTTAGATGAGATGTTTAGGAATTTTTTCTTCTCCTTCTTGACAGGAACCCATTGCCCATAGGGATTTCCCTTTTTGTCATCTTCTCTTGCTGGAGAAACTGCCAGTTCTTTAAAAACGTGGGCTGCTGGCTTCTGCAGTACTGGTTTTGCCATTGTGTTCTGGAAAAAGAAATTTCCTTTTAAAATGCTAGAATGAGAAGGAATGTACTAAGACCTCTCAACTGCAAGGGGTTCATCTCCACTGGTAACAGAAACGTTTTGACCCAGGATTCAGGGAAGTTGCTTTTTCCTTAGTTCTACATTAAAAACATATCCAAACAAATTGAAATAATTTCTGGCATACACTTTTGAGTCTGTAATATAGGCATTTAAGCACTGATATCTACTTTAAACACTGCTGTAGTGTACAGTACTGATCTAATTCAACTTGTAACAAGTAGTAAGATCTTTAATCTGGCAACCAACACTGTGAAAAGCCTAGCACAGGAGGAATGAATTACTGAAACTCTGTCTTGGGAAATCATACTTACATTGGGACTGAAAGAAATGCTTCTCTGTATGGCTGCTCTCTCCCTTCCGCTCTTGGTCACGTCCTCTGCAAGTCTTCTGGGTTGCTAGAGAGGAGCACACACAGCTTAAGCGGGAGGATCCATTACTCAATGCAAGTTAAGGCAATTACTACAGAGTATGAACTTTCTGGTAGAGCTGTTTCAGATATTTACATCTAAAGTAGCTGTAAGCTACTCAATACGCAAACAGATCAATGTTGAACTCAATTCGAAAAGCATTCAGTTTTTACCAGTGTCATTGTGCCAATTCACACGTGACCTGAGATCCACGCCCCAGTTACAGCTTTACAAAGTACTCGAACAACTCAAGGCATGGACTGCCATATGCCAAGTGTGGTGGTAGTGCAAATTGTATTAAATTCTGCATGTCCATCCTGCAGAGCTTTGGATAATGACAATAAACTTATCTGCAAGTGATGCAGGCCTCTTCTTCTGTACTCTCTCAACATCTGGAATATATTGCATATATTATGAAAGGGATGCCTGTACCATTCCTGTAAAAACCCTTACAAAATTCACTTCCATTTGACACAGCAGTATCTGATCTAACAGTTAACACAGTTCTGTATTTACCACACGGTAACAAAGCCAAACTACAATTCAGTTTAAGCTGCTCAAGTTTCTCCCTCCCTTAAATTCACAGCAGCTACAGCCCACGAGTCCCTTAATTACCAACAGATTTTCTTCATCATGTCTGGAACCATAGTCATGATTTCTATAAGACAGAAATAAAGTATGTAAAATGCATTGTGTGCTTGGGCATGTAATTTCTGGGAAACAGTTTGTTGCACATGAAAAGCTTTTAACACAGAAAGGGTAGAAAGATTTAACCTTTAAAAGAAAGCCACACTATTCACTAGGCTTGGTAGTGAAACTCTCTCAATTTAAGTCAGAAACAAAAACTTGTCTAAAGAATGGGCAAGAACAACAACTCAAAAGAATAAACCGAATTCACCTCTCCTTCTCAACCTATCACTGCTGGCAAGGCTGCACGTACTCAGTGGATCAGCCACTTGTTAACAGTCCACAGTACTTGCACAGCTTATCACAAAGTCTACAGCCACTTCTAGAGCAGTTTTTAGCATTCCAGTAAATGTGAACTTTCTGTTCAAGGGTTTGAATTCATAATCACAAACTCCACAGTTTAAAATTAACACATCCATGCAGATCACAACCTAAGAAGTGTTTACCTTTTCACTGAGAATACTCCAGTTCATACTTACCTCAGCTGACTCTCCAGCATCTTCAGGTTCTTGTTTTTCAGTTTTTCTCTCTTTGGAAGGAGCAGGGATCTTCAAGCTTGCTGGCAAGACAATGTTATCTGTTCCCAGAGCTTTCGCAGCATTAGCTTTTGCAATTTCCAGGAGTTCCCGCTTGTCTATAAGAGGAAAAGAAAGTCATTCTCATGGTTAAATCAACATGCACCCACTCATATCAGCCTAAAAACTGCAGGTTTACGATCACTGCACCTATGCAAGCATCAACTGTGATGAATTTTCATCAGAACTTGGAAGACTTAGCATCAGTTGAAAAGTATGCTCTGAACTACTCAATGTTTCTTTTAACTGTATTTTCATAACCATGCAGAGATTTTCTCCCACATTGCCATTATCAGTTACGTTCCGTAAGGCAAGTACACAGATAAGAATTTGTCTGGTTAAAGTAAGTATACATTGTATGTTTTGAGGTTCCTACAGAATGAAAGTCTAAAAACCAAAAACAGGTACCTTTTTCACTCAGATGGAGAGGTGACCGACTCCGAGACCTTGTTCGGGACCTGCTTCTCCAGCTCCTGTAAGCCTCAGGATAGATTGTTCGCCCAAATCCATAGTATCTCGGGCCTCTTGAACGGGATCTGCTTCTCGAGTAGGACCTTCTGTAGTACAATCTTCCACGAGACCACGACCGACTGCGTGACCTGTACCTCGGAGGAGAGCGGTGGTATCTCCTGTAGTGCCTGGCGTGGTACCTTCCTTGGTATCTCGCATAGCCGCGTGATCTGGAGCGGCTTCTGGAGTACGAACGAGAGTATCTTCTGTATCTCCGGGAACCGCTTCTTCTAGCCCATGACCTTGATCTGGATCTGGACCGGCTCCAGCTCCTGGAGGAAGCTGAAGAGGAAGTGCTTGAACTGGACCGTGAACTGCAAGAGGATCTGCTGGAGGACCTTGTTGATGACCTATCACAGCTTCTCTTGGACCTCAAAGATGATTCTCTCTTCTTCTGTGAGCTGAAATCTGTCATAGCATCAGTTTTCCTGACCACTCTTTTTTCCACACAGGTGCTTTCAGATGCTGGTTCAGTTTTTATGGTTGTTCTGTAATGCCCAGTCTCTGTTCCTGTTGTGGGTGGGGAGGGAGAAGTTAATCATTTATATCCACCAAGTCAACTATACCACAACAAACATTATGACATATGCAAAAAGCTCAAAGATAATTAAACACACCAACAATTCTCATCCAGTTCATCGGCATGTTTTGCACATGACGGTTTTGAGTTTCATCATTTCCTCTCCCATAGTCAGTCCTCTATAGGAAATAAAAGAAGTCTTCCGTTTAAACCATAAGTGGTTCCGCATGGAACTCTGAAGAGGTTTTTTTTTGGGGTTTTAAGTTTAATACCCTGTGTTTGCTACATAAGCACAAGCCTTCTGTGAAATAGATGAGTCAGTACCTTTTTTCCCTACTCCAAAGAGAATTTTCAAGGTATTTTACCTTAGAACTATTCTAAATGCAGCCTATTACATCTACATCTGCAATTCCAATCAGTACAAATCGATTCGTTTTCTTCTGCAGTTTTATGTAGGTTAAGTTTTACAATTTTTCCTCCAACAGAACAGAAAATATAGTACAAAGCAGCCACTTTAAGTTCTTGATTATACTGCACAAGAGGCCACGCACCCCAGCAGCGCACGCAGCAAGCTGCTAATAAAAACATTCTACTTGTAAAGTACGTGACACTCGTTAAGGTTTTAGATTAATAATTAAAATGGCTGTCTCTCCAGCGGCAGCCATTTTATAGCTACAAGGGTTATGTACTCTAGGATGTATTCTAGGGTGTAGTAATCTCCATTACTTAAATCCGGTTACATCACCACTTCACAGTTCAAGGAAGCTTGTTTCATAACGAAGTTTCTCTTCAGTGCTCACTGTAAACCACAGTCAACAAACAAACGTTTGAGGATCCTTTACTGAAATCGAGCACGGGTATTAAATTCTGCAGGAGTTGGTAAGAAACATTCCTCTTGTTGCCACACAGCTAAAGTTTCACTGCTTCACCTCTAACCAAGTGTCAAGGTCACCAGCCCTGTACCGAGCACAGCTCATCCGAAACTCATGATTAATTCTGATCTGAACACCACCCCAGACACCACCGTTTTCAACAACGCACAAATCGGGCACATCTCGGTGTTCTCCCACCATCGGCCCTCACCCGGCAAACCGCGCAGGGAGTGCAGCCCCCTCCGCCCGCGCGTTGGCGGAGGGGACCCACAGGGAGGGGATTTCGAGCACTCACCGCTGGGAGCCGCCGGACACCCCCGGTGCTGGTTCCCGTGAGACGCCTGGCCGCTCCTGTAACGAAAATAAC